TTTTTAATAACTCGTGTTATTTGCTATTAATAAAATTGAATAACAAGAAAAAAAGAAAAGAAAAGAAAAAAAATTAATTAGTATAAAATATTTATATAGTTTGAAAAATGTTCACGCACACGCACACACACACACACACACACACACACACACATTCTCTCAGGATTTTTTATGCTCTGCAAAAAAAAAACTTCGGAAAAACTATTCTTTTTTTCGGAAAATTTTTTTAAAAGCAGGAGTAAAAAACCGATTTTTTCCCTATTGTGTTTAAATTTGGCATGAGATTTTCTTTATTTAATTTTACGCAATAAATTTTTCTTTCACAAATGATAAAAAAAAAAGGAAAAAATTTTTTTTTTACTTTTACTTTTCCTTTTCATTAAAATTGATTTTCCATTTTACGAAAAAAGAAGAAGGAAAAGAAGAATAAAAACCACCACTAAAAAAGAACCACAAAAACCACTTTGATGAGAATAATTTACCATTCGATTGTTTCCTTAAATAATTTTCCCCCTTTTTTTTATAACTTTTTCAAACTTTTCCGACAAGTTTTTTTTTTTCCATCATTGGAAATATTTGGCATTAAAAACCGTTTTTTTTTTTATGAAAAAAAGGGAATTCTGCCATTTTTTTTTTTTTCAAGAGTGTAAACGTCCATCAGGCGTGGGGAGGTGGGAGGAGGAAGGGGAATGGGGGAGAAAAAGAAAAACCTGATTTTAAATATGATTTTTAGATAATAAATGAACAAAAAAAAGGTTCGGCCATCGTGTGTAAACACGGGTTTTTTTTTTTTTTTTTCTCCCCAGATAAGCTAATTAACTCTTGGTTATGGTTGAGACGACATAATTCCCTGGTTTTTCGTGGACATTTATATGATTTAGAGAGGATCATAACGGCTGGAATCGTTCCAGCAAAAAAGGGAGAAACATGAAACTAAATCATTGAAAATGATTTTTTTTTTTAAATAAAAAGGGCTTCCTTTTCCATTGTTGTTCATCAATCGGAAAAAACAAAAAAAAATTGATTCGAATAAATTCGAAAACGTAAACGTTCGTTTATTTTTTTTTAAAGATTTTCTGGAAATTATTTCTAGAATTTTCTTTCATTCAATTTATATATAATTTTTAATCATCATCTTATTGGACA